CGCCTCCGCCCCTGGCCCGACCCGCCCCCGTCGGCCCAGCTCCCGCCCCCCGAGACGCGCGGGCCGCGGAGCTCTGGGGACCCTGCTCCAGGGTGTCCCGCTGTCCCCCCGGAGCGCCAGGCACCGAGAGTCCGACTGCGACCGTCGAAGAAGTGAACACAAGGCATGTGCCAGGAACGCGGATCCCAACGGGAAGGCGCCACTGCCGAAACTCAGGCAGCGTCTGGCCCCTGGAGGAGCGATGGGGCTCCGCTGACCAGGAGGTCGCCAGCAGGAGGGCACCTCTGGCACGCCAGGGCAACCTCCGGAGGCTGCGCTCCTTGGGGTAACGGTGGCACTGTGTATAGTGCGGGCCCCTCTGCTACTCAGAGCTCCGAGGAGAAGCCCCTAGCCTTTGGCTGCGTCCCAGACGGGTACTGACGGCAAGGCTGCAGGTGCTCCAGATTCTCCACCTGGGAACCGCTCGTTGCTGGCACAATCTGCTCCCGATGGGAATCGAGGCAAGACCTGGAGATTACGGCGCCCGGCAGAGGCTCTGCGGTGTTTTTCGATCCAATGAGGGGTGGGGAGCGAGGTGGGGGGAGACCTCTGTCCCGGGGCCCTGAACGACACAGCTGTGCGCAGCCGGGCTCTGAGGTTTTACACATGTTTTCTATTGAAAGTCGTAGCGTGCTGCTCAGTGTGGCCTCAGCCCTATGCGGCTTCACTCGCCTCTGGGGCAAAGGGGCATTTTCTTGATTGACGTCCTCCTGCGGTGACCACACCTTGACTTGGGTAGTTTCTGCTAAGGTTTTTATTATTATTATTATTATTATTATTATTATTATTATTATTATTAGACTTTTTCTATTGAGATTTTAAATTTTACCCTTTGGAATTCCATCTTCAGCTGCTACGGGACTGATCAGGCAAAAGAGGGGGGAAAAAAACTGGGTAGCTTTAGGACCTGGGTTCGAGTTTCACATCACACATATTTCTTGAGCAACTACTGTGTGTCATTAGCAAACGAGAGAAGTAGTCCGTATTCTCATGGAAGTTGGAAACAAAATGAATATATATAGTAACTAGGGAGAAATCGTGCCTAATGGTCTGAAAATTCAGGGGACAACCCCTAATTTTGGGGAAAGGAGAGAGTCGCTTTGAGAAAGGAAAGGGAAAGTCTTCCCAAAGGAAATGATGTTTGGAAGATAAGTAGGTGTCAACAAGCCTAGGGTGTTAGAACACCGCTTGTGAGCGGGTACCTAATGCAGCCTGAGTCAGTTTATTGCCATGGGCTTTTCTCATCTGAAACGTTTGGGACTTGCCATAAAGTTTCCTAACTGCTTGGGGATGGAGTCACCGACACCTTTCAGAATAATTGACAGACAAAAGCTACAAGCACAGACAAACCACTGAGTATGAAGCGCTGCTATTTGAGTTAAAACCTTGGGAGCTAGGAAGACTATATCTCCATGTGTTCACTCTGCTACATGAACGATAGAAGTAATGCAACAGGGTTAACGCTGCCTCCCCATCGAGAGAGGGACGGGGCTCGAAGAGAATAATTATGAGTACCTGGAGAACTGAACCATGTGACGCTTCTGGTGAGCTTAAAAACATCTTGTGCCAGACACCGTGGGAAGACAACAGGCAACTTGAAGGGGCTTCCCTTGGGCTACTTAAGGTTACATAAGCTTCAAAAATACATCGTCAAGGTGCTAGCTGGGACCCTGAGTTTTGATCCACAGTTATCCTCTGCCCTCCAGATGCTTGCTGTGGCACACGTTATACACAACAATAATGAGGTTCAGAAAGTATATAATAAATTATGACAATTTTTAAATCCATTGAACTCAAGTAAAATAAAGGAATGGCGGATGGGAAAACAGGAGGAATGCCAGGACAAATATAAAATATTTGAGGCTAGTGAGATGGCTCAGCCTATGAGAGATTGCCTCCCTATGTTGCAAACCTGAAGACCTTACCTCAATCTCCAGACCCCACATTAAAAAAAAAATAAAAAATAAAAATAAAACGGGTGGTGGCACACACCTTTAGTCCCAGCACTCTAAGGCAGAGGCAGGTGGATCTCTGTGAGTTCAAGGCCAGCCTGGTCTACAAGAGCTGGTTCTAGGACAGCTAGAGCTGTTACAGAGAGAAACCCTGTCTCAAAACTGAAACAAAACAAACAGAAAAGATGGAGAGACCTCCATTGGAGCACCATGGCGTGAATGCCCACAACACACATCATACACAATAACAATGAGATAAATTTTAATGAGAAAGCTTTATTGATTCAGGAAATAATCCATTCAAGAAAGACACACAACTATTGAGTGAAACGTTGGAGATGAGGGTTCTGATATTCTGATAAGGTCTTAGAGGATTTTTTTGGACTTGGGGTAAAAAGAGAAATAAAATGAATTGTACATAGACATCAGTATTTCGGTGGTACTGTTAAGTGTGATTTTCGTATGGTGAGTTAAATACCAGAAAACCCATACTAAGAGATGCAAACTAAAGTATTTAAGGATATGGTCATGATGCACCTTCCAGTAGTTCATTATACACATTATACTTATACATACACACACACACACACACACACACACACACACACACACACACACACACATATATATATATATACATACATAAAAAGGTAAACTAAATAAAAAAAATACTAATTGGCGAGTTTAGGTGAAGAACACATGGGGTTTTGTTGTGCTATAGTTTTAACTTCACTGTAGCTTTGAAAGTTTTGAGTATAAAAAACTAGAAAAGAATAAATATAGCTTTTTATATTAAAAATCTAAAGCACTGTGCCACAGATAGCTGGGTGGGTGACGACACTCGCCTCCAAGCCTGATGACCCAAGCTTGGTCACTGGGACATGGTGGGGCCAGAAGGCTGACCGGTAAGAGGATGGTCTTGCACTTCCATC